CCAAATATGAGGGTTAATTACCTACGTTTCGAACGTTACATCGAAGCGATATTATTCACACGTGATTTACTTGAACTGATAAATTTTACTCGCGGTTGCTTCTATAGCAGTCGATTGTTTCTATTTGTTTTCGCGTGATGCAAATCAACCGGCTAACGATTCGGAATGACGCCTAGCCCAATATTTTACTCGGTTATTTCGATGACACTGCCGATGAGATCGATGCACCGCTAGTAACACGAGTCAATGATATCTGCTACGTCTAACGATAAATCTGTCCTGTTGAACAATTGCCGAGTGACGATCGGTTGTGGTATCGGTCCTGTTATGGACAGCCGGTTCATGCTTTTATTGTTCAAAGTGGCTGTCGAAAATAGACAATCAACCCTGACGTCGCAAACATGAGAGTATTCGATTGTAATGATTTCAATTGATCCTCTCCTCCAATTAACACACGCCACGCTGTTGATTCATTCAACTACATAAGTACTGGCAAACAAACGAATGTCCAGTTAATTGCTTCGCGTCGAGATTCAGGAATTACTTAAATACTTAGGCCTATTACATTTTATATGGAATTACCTTCTGAATTATTCGCCATTACTCAATTGTGGATTTTTATCTAAAGTTTAGCTTTCACGTGTTCTTGATTAAAGTCGTGACAGATTGTACAAATTGAAGACGCGTACCATGTGTTACTTTTCGATCAGTCTCCTAGTTGTCTCCACGTGCTCCCTTATAAACGGAATTTCTCTTTAACTAGTCGAACTGCGTTCGACGAGTATGCACGTCATCTTAAAACGCAATATGGTACTCATTTCTTCCATGATTGATTTATAAATATATTGATTTACTAGTATACACTTTATTATTTGATTTTATCGTGCGCACAATGTGATATTTTTCATGCTAAATTCCACAGTTAATTGGTTAACACTTTCCAGTACGATTTAATCATGAAAAATGATGCATGGTAGAAGCATTTTATTTGTATTAAAGAAAACAACGTATTTCATTTTATGATGCATACAATTTTATAGTAGTAATACTAAATTTTACGTCAATTTATTCTCAATTAGGAACTGTACAACTTTTGTGCGCGTAAAAACATGTTCCCTATTACTTCAGTCGCAGGACGAGCGTAACTCCTCACTGTACGGTTTGTCACGAAAAACTAATGACGAACTGTACTCGTTATTTTACTGCAAGGGGTTAAGGATGAGTATTGAAGGCTATATCCTCAATTGGCTGAAATCACGGAAAATGCCTTCCACCTGTCAGGGAATTTTACAGACGACAGTTCATTCTTTTCGCCTTCAACGCGCTCTAGAAGTGTGGAAGCGGCTGTTCATTTTTCTGGAGATACTGTTGGTGATACAACGAGGTGTTTTCCGGGTCTAGCGTAAGAGCGATGCGTAGCCTTAAGCTCGGATAACCGGATTCGAACTTTCACCAGCTGACGAAAATTAGCGCGCACTTTACTTAGACACTTCGAGCTGCAGCCCTTCGATGACCCAAAATTTATGGCCTTCAATTGCACTTTTGAGGTTGCGTGGGAAAACTACAAAGACTAATCTGTCTGCCAAATGGTTAAAAATGTGAAGAACAATTTCCTCAAAAATACGAATGTTTCGTTATCGTTTATCTACGATTGCAAATTTTATTTATAGAAATTATTAATCGTAATTCCAGTTTTAGTATCAAATAATCTGTTTTGCTTTCTGAAAAATTTGCCCTCTGTTTACAAAAACAAGATGTACTTTTCAACTGTTAAAATACTGCTTATTATTTTCATTGATCTTCTTCCATTTTTGAGGCAATAATGAAGACTATTTCAGTTGCATGGAAACGTTCAACACTAAGTTTACGGAACGCGTCAGTTTGACGAATATTGAAATTTATAAACATTATTTCATAAATGTTTACATTGATTTTGATCAATGCAATTGCACGAGCATGTATCGTAATCATCTATTTTTCTATCCCCAAATTCCAAGATCTAAATGAACAGACATCCATTTTGGTAGGAACAAGAGAATAAACTGTACAATAATCGTTCATAAACCTAGTGTTAATAATTGGATGAAAATAATAGTACATTAATCAACCATTGCTTGCCGTCGAGGTAACAATCTTCATCAAACTATCGGACTTATTCGAGCGTACGCGTTTCTATTCACGAATTTCTGGTAGCATTACCTGAAAACGTGCTGCTTAAGGTAAGCAGCTTATGTTACTATACGCAGCGAAAACTACTTGCACGACACATTTACGTCTAAGATGCACAAAATCTATGGTGTAAAGTATCATTAACTGTTTGTGTAGAAAATTGGGATTTATGACACATCCGTGATGCCATCGTGAAACACGAAACCAATGAAAGTAGCAATTTCCGTAATTCCAAGCATTAAGAGTTGTTGAATACCCATGCGCACCGGTAATATAATAGTTTCGATGCGTGCACTTAGTCGATAGTCGTCTCCTTAACAACTGAACAACTTAAAATCTTGAGGATGCGTTGAAATGAACGCGTTATGCGTAACATTGGTACGATAAACAACGACTGTTACTATAAAATTGTCACATTGCATAGACGTTGATGCGTCAACCGACAGAGTAACGGCTTCGCTTCGATTTTTTGCTCGTAACTAATTTTGAAAGAAAATTATCGAGCTATATAGACCCAGTTATGGAGGTGGGGGTGCAGGAAAATCTGCTTGTGAAGGACCGTTTCAGAACTCGCAAACGACAGTCTAAGGCAGGCCTGTCCAACAGAACTTTTCGCGGGCAAGAACAGCCTCGCAAGTTATGGGCATACATTTCCTATGTGGGTGAAATGCACTTGTGTTAGTGTCCACGCTGTAGTACCTCAACCGGTTAACTGCGTTTGACGAGTACACGCGTCAACTTAAAACTCTAAATGGTGCTAACTCTTTCAAGGATAGACTATTTATTTTTTAAGGCAAACATGTGTAAGACAGGATTCTGTAGGCGTAAAATAAAATGATGGAAACTTGTTGGAATTGTAATTTTCTTACTGCAATGTTATTCTCTCGAAAGTTGCAGAAAGAATGCCCTGAAACAGGGCACTGTTTAGCCGGAGGATCCCGTCTTGTTAGCGTAGCTCTCGCTCTGTTTATTGCGCCCCGAGACTCGGGGCTGCTTTGTCTTAAGAAGGCACCGATTGACGAAACACAGACGACCAGCGTTCGACTTTCCCTTCGCTAAGATTGTCTTACACATGTAATTCTTCTTTGTTTCGCTTTAGTTTTTCGTTAGAACATATTATAACTGCCTTTGACCTGCATTTGACGACATACATTTCGTTATTTGATTTTATTGTACGCCCAATGAGAGAATTTTCAAACTAAATTCCACACTTGACAGGCTAAAACAGATGATCGCTACTACATAATTATAAAGTACAGTGACGCACGCTTAAATTTCACAAAACTTCGAAGGTAGCTGTGAAATTCTCCTGTACAGAGTACGGTTTATTGACTCAAGTACGGCTCGGCAGAGTGAGGGAACACGTATAACGAGTGCAAGCGAGGTAGATAGCACGCTGAGCAGCAACGGACGAAACTCGATGCCTCAACGTATACTGCAACTGAAAAATACGTGGAATAAAGAAAATTTCAGTTTTAATCACTTTCACCTTACCTTTATAAATGTAACATCAGTGGATTATTGAGATTTTCCTGATTAAAATGATTCCAAACACGACGCACATTGAACTAGTTTGATCGATTTAGAAAATTCATATATTTAATTTTGTTATTCATGTTAAACGGGTAAAATTAGTCCGATTTGCGTGTTGCTTGGGCTCATTTTAATCGGAATAATCTTAACAATCCGGTAGTGTTACATTTATAAAAGTAAACTGAAAAGTATTGAAAGTGAAATTGTCCGTATTACATGTTTACTCTTCTCAGCGGCGTCATCCTTTTGATGTACGTCTTCTTTCTTTCCATTGTATGTGCTCTCTGTTCTTGTCCGCTGCCTCTGGGCTCGAGACCTGAGCGGTGGGGGAACAATGGAGATAAGTCGTGGAAATTTAACCGTTCGGATTTTAGTGAAGCGTGCGTCACTGTAGTACAAAAAAGACAGCTATCTTTGCCCGCGGCAGCGTTACGAACTGCCCGCAGGGACAAGTGGATGGACAGGCCTGGTCTAAGGTTTAGAACTAGGAGTCTTACAAGAGCTTCACAGAGAATTCACAGGTGGCTTCGCTGCGGGCCCTGCGAAGGTGTTACTTGTTTGACATAGGTACTATTCGCCTCTTACGTTACGACCGCCGGTCATAGGCTTAAAAGTGTACAGAAGCGAGAGGAGACATCCACTCGACGCTTCTCGCGATAGTTATAGCGGCTCAGTTTGAGCACGTCTTTGTTGCTGGCCGAGCCGCGGGACGAAGAAACAAGACGGCCAATCGCTCCTCTTCCTGTGCACTTTTAGCTCGATGCTCGATGGAGCTGACGTGAGAGGCGTGTAGTATGTGCTGATTGTTTTGCACGTTTCCAAGTTGCTAACGACGTTCCTCCAGCTGCAACGGCTCACCGGTGATGCCTGCTTTTTATGGCTGGTTTGAAAAATTCGTTGGAAACGATTGACGGTTTTCAAAGCCGTCAACAAAAGTAGAACTTTCTTCGAATATTAATATATCAGTCTATATAAGAATTTCTCGGAAAGGCAACTCGGTGCAGTAATTAGAAATAAATATATCAAGAATTAGTCGTTCCAAATCACAAGAGCACATTTGTTTTCAAATTGGCGCAATCCTTGTTATCGTATTTACACGATGAAACGAATTCATTTGACCATTTCTCAATGATGTATTTATGATTTCAGTAATTCTAAGATGCACGAAATCCGATATGCGTGATTTTATTATGGCTAGTAGTTCCAGCGTTAATCAATATGGCGGTCAATATACTTGATTATTTGTGTGACTGTCACCGTGTCGTCACAATACATATCGGATAAATGTATCAACTTACCATCGAATGTGGAATAGGCCACCATAATGTCCGCGTGGGTAGGAATGGTGTACGAACTCGCGCCATCCGTCTCATGCATAACTTGCACCCCATTCTCCAGCTTCGACCCGCGGCAAGCCTACGAAAAAGAAAACGCATACGTGAGTGTACGCACAAGTTGCAGCCGCTCAAGCATTCCCTTTGTGCATCCGCTTGAACGCAGCGGATGGTTCTTCAGGGACTGAGCATTGTTTGCCGCAAAGCAACGCTGTTCCGTCGATGACGATTGTCGTCTGCTGTAGGTACCGAGATTTTAACGCTTCCCGTTGACATTCACGCCTGAATCGCTACACCACAACAGGAATCACGTGTTCATAAGGAACCGACGTTTTTTCAAATACTTTGATGATCACGGTGTTGTTCACGGATCGTGAATGTGTACGAATATACAAAGTTTCATGGCGGGAAATTAAATTTCAATATTTATCTCTTATGCCCCAGAAACCTTTTTTTATTGAAGTTAATCTTTTTCTAACGTTATGTTGTTAACTAATCAGACTAAATTGTCCATAGGTTAGTGGATATACGTACGTTTCATTGCATTTTCTGTTTTGTTTTTGTTTTTTTTAATTCATACCCATAGTGAGTCGATAATGCTGTTACACTACAAAAGTCAGATTTACCGATAACACTGTCTAGTTCCTGATCAAATAAAACTTGACTGCGTCGCCGCATTCTATGATCTGTCATTACTATGTCCCTAATGGAAAAGGAGAAAAATTGGATACATTTTAATAGGAACGAAACCTAGCTATTAAAGTATCCATCGGAAGCCAAACGGTTAAGAATATCAGTGAAAAAATCACATTCAATGAATTTATCTGTATTATTTATAAAACTAAGTTTATACCTGCTTTATATACGACCAAGAGAAATATTTAACAAAACAGAAATTGTCTTGATAGAAATAATTAGAACACTGCAGACTACTGGAAAGAAATAGAAAAATTTCATTTCGATGAAGAGTAAAATTAAATAATATCAGTTCATCAAATTCAGTTGCTACGAATAAAATATGTAAATTAGTGGACAGCATGTTAGGAAAATATAAAACTTCATAAACTATAATAAAAGCGACATATCCAAATTAATGAACAAATAGGTCCTGGAGGAAACATCAAGCTACCTGACATTTCCAGAATTTCATGTCGGTATCTGGTTACAAATTTTCCCGCAAGCGCTCTTGCTAGACAGCCGGTGTAGAAGGTAGAGCGAAGGAGCTGAAGAACTCAAAGTGGAGAACGCGAGACGGTCAGAGCGTGCAGAGCAGTGAAACAGTGCGAGAGGAAATTCAATCAGAGTAGGAAATGCAAGAAAGATGCAGAGAAAGGGGACACAGCAGCAAGAAGCGCAGGAACCGAAGAGTCGACGAACTAGAAGTAGTCATAGCCGGAGAAGATGTGAATCTAAAGTAAGACAGCTGACAGAGACAGAGTAGATGAACTAATTGAGTTAAACTGTGGCGGGGAAGGAGTTGGATTATATCGGGCAAGGTGGGAGAATTTAGGAAAGTAGAGTGAGTGGACTAAAGATGTCAGAAGCCCTGAACATAAAGGAGGACATATAAAGGAGTCAACGTAGGGAAAATTTTATGGTGATAACACTAATGGAGACTAAGTAGAGTAGCTGTGAAGGGTGGAGTGCCAGAATTGAAAAATCAGAGCCAGGAGTATGGAAAAAATAAAACTGGACTGTCAAGTAATAAGGGAATACCTCTAAATTACCGATTGTGTCATAATTTTGATACAAAACACTTCTTATCAAATTATTCGTATACTTACTTTTTTATCGAACATTTGATAAATATGAAACAATGCAAATAAGATTCAAATTGATATTATTTAAGATTAGAAACACCGAGCATTTAATACGATTGATATGTAATCCTTCTAAAAATTGTAAAAATAGATTATTTTCGGTTTTCCCAGGCATTCATTATAATACTCAAGTAAAACTATTTATTCGCAAAATCATTTCGAATATTCAATGCTTTTAAGATATTAATAATTGCGGAACAAAAAATCGGAACCAGTCATTTTTACTGGTAGGGTAGATCTAGTGTTAAATAAAATTGTGTTCGCCTCACTTTCCTCGGGATAACCCTTACTAAATTCTTAGTGGTAGTCATTATGTATCATAATAATGTAACAGATGCAAAAGAACATTTTTTTTATCAGAACAGTCTTCTTCAGCTTTCAAAAGAAGATATTTTATTGTCACTAGAACCATCTGACAGGTCAAAATATTTATTAGATTACTTGTTTCAGAATGATTGCAATTATAAATATGCTTCCGTGAGAAACTATTAAATAAAGTCACATATTTCTACAGATACATCAATAAAAGTCGTTTGAAATTATAAATTATGCACGCTTGTATTTTCTACGAGAGATAATATATAGGCCATTTCAATTACTCTATGGTTTCGATATAACAATTCTATCATTCTACTTAATCAGCATGGAACTATGGCACAACAATGCATATAGCTACCTGAAACCCATAATACTTCGTCTCACATTCACCAATAAATTACATTTCTGCATTCGGTTCAGAAAATCTCGAGCCATTCTCTGTCATGAAATACTTTAATGTGTTTTTCGGTGATACCGAGCGTTTGGAAATTATTTCCATGTCCACCACGAAGCGATCCCTGGTGCGTTTTAATTCGGAACCGTTAGCGTACGAAAATCGCATAAATCTCGACGAACGACGGGCGTAGTTTATCGAACAACGACCGGGCGAATTTGAAATTCCGCGGCCATTGTTCGCACGGAACGGCGGAGATCGTTCTTTATCGTGTCAAACGCGTATCGTGACGACGGGCTCCTGTCCTTTCGTCGGTGAACTTTTCACTCCTTTATCTTACCAGGAATTTTCTTGATCAATAATCCCCAAGTTGTTACGGGCAGAAGCCCATTTTTAAAAAATAATAACTTTCTGCAACTCTTTCGGTTATAGAACTCTATTCGTCCAATTCTGTTTTTAAGCAATAGAAACATTCTACGATATCCTATTAGATTCGCGATGCTAATGTTAAACTAAATTTGACAAATCTACATATTACTTACTTTTTCTGAACATTTTTTTAACAAGTTAAAAATTACTCTTCTATTATCAATCATTCGCCTTTGGAGTAAACGTGGACGCAAAATAAGTAACGAATCCTTCACTTTTTCTAATAAATTATTAACGATAGTAGCTTTACCGAGTTCTCGGAATTTTGTTTAATTTGCGATCTTCTTTCACTTGCCTATCACTTGCATATCGAGCCTAGAATCAAATCTTTATGCTCGAAGAATCAAACCGCCTCGCGCCTATCGCTATAGCATTGTATGGTGTTAATATAACAACGAACGGTTCGAGTCTTCGAACATAAAGACTCCAGCGATGCAGACTTCAGTTTTTAAGATTCTTAAGGCTTCAATATTTACAGCTCAAAGCTTCAGCCGCGAATGTTCGAGCTCTTAACATTAAAACTACCGGACGAGTCAAAATGATCCATTCCTGATTTCTTCTTTTCGCAATTATTAAAAAGATAACAACTGTTTCTCTGAGCAATTATTCAAGAAGTTAATTTGGCAACACGAAAGCTGAATTGTAAATCAATGGAAGCCTCAATAGATGCAATTGTAAAGTTTCCATAGAGGAATTTCAAAAAGTCAGTTTAACTGCTCTGTAGTTTCAATGTTAAGGATTGTGTCGCGGCTACAGCTGTCAACGCTCGAGGTTCAGGATTCATTTTTACAGCACTAATTCTGCAAATCATTTCAATGAATCTGTACAATGTGTATTTAAATATTTCGCTATCTGTCGGAAAGCATCCCGTGACTCATCAGTTAAACGCGACCCACACTTTGGGAACCTCTGTTCTAGACAATAGCGTCGGACGATAACGTCACACCTTCAACGTGATACACAGGTGGGACGACGCGACGTTTCGTGCTCATAACGCACGACATTTTCTTCTCGAGGGGACGCCGTTCAGGAGATTGGAAAATGAGAAAAATAGGAAATCGGCCGAGACGACACGACGAGAAAATATTGTACGGTGGCGTGGTGTCCTTTCGATGTCAACGAGTATTCACAGCTCATCTTTTCTTCTTTTTGACTGTATGCATTTAAAAACTCGATTTCGTAAAAAATGTAGTATAATAACTTTCTCTGTAATGGAAAAATGATTGTTTCATTTTAGTGATACAGTTGTGTGTGTAACGGGGAAATAAATGTTTCGATCTATGTATATATTTATTTGTAATGAAGAATAAATACCTACTTTGCTGTATTTATACTTGTATCGTGTTTTAGTAAATTTTAGTAGAAAATGCTGCTTTTTAATGTGTTATTTGAATATTTGGAGTTTCTTTACATCCGTTCAGATTGTATTTTCAAAATTTCACTTCCAAAATTAATATGCATTTAAGTGCTTACAGGAAATGATTGACAGTATAATTGTGTTTATTATATTCTCAAAGACAAAGTAGTATTCGAGATTTGCGACTAAACATATTTCTCACCCTCTTTAAAGAGTTCCTGTGTACCGTGTATGAGTGTTTGTTCCCATTTATTATTTTACAGCAAAAAGGGACACAGTAAGCCAGTAAGCCAATTAATTTTTACATCGGATAGAGACTGTGAAGTAGAGACTTTTTAAGTTGACATACAGTTGAAAATATTACTGTGGTAGCGATAGAAAAGGTATAATCATCGACATCAGTTTAAGACATTTATAATATAAACTATTTAAATATTCCGAAAAGAGAGATAGAACTTTTCTACTTGAGACTTTGTTTTCATGAAAACCAAGTATAAGAACTTATCGAGTTTTCGTTCACACAAAACTACAATAAGGATAAAAACTAAATAAATCACAGAAATGTTCAAAGAAAGTATTATCTATTGTTGAATTGAATGATGACTCAACATCGTGGTGTTTGTTTTCTTACATTTCGTATTATAGTAAACAATACTCTTCGTGCAACTTCTTATCATTTATTTAGTTTCTCTTTCTACGTTATGAATTCGTAGTCCGTAACAGATTTAAAATCTATTATTAATTGTTAAATTGTTAAATCCCGT